GTTTTTGACTCATTTGTTTAACTGGGTTCTCTTTATCTAGTTTTAGGACTTGTGTGGAGAAGAGATCACGTTTTAGATCATATTTATACAGAAATATTGAAAATTCAAAAGGGTTCACAAACTTTTAAGCACCACTGTATATTATAAAAATATAATTGTTGCCATGTATGTCACAGTGATAATACCATGTTTTGGAAAGATGATATGATTGTTATACTATCATTCCCACTCCAGAATGTGGATTAACAGATACACATACCCATAAAATTATCTAGAAACAGATTTAAAAAACTGAAGTATTGCTGCAAATAAATAAAGGAAAAATTACAGCCTATAAACTTAGTAATTAGCTGAGAAAATTAATCTTATTAAAAAAGCTGATGTTTCTAACCATTTGGGACTATTTATATGTACAAATCAAGATAATTAATACATGCCCATGCTCTGGTTCTCATCATCCTGGTCAATGAAGACATGGTCCATTACAAAGCTAAGGAGTTCGGTCTGGAGACCTGAATCTGGATTAAACACCAAAGGTTGAAGACCCTCTCTGCCTCCACTCATCAACTGATGGCTAAAAATCATCAAGAGATCACAGAGCAGCATGAAAGCCTGAAATACAAAATCGCTTCAATCAATAATCTTACAGACATCAAAAAAGGCTCAGGTACACAAGAGTTTAATATAAATGAATAACCAAATGTGCTTAATTATTTTTTTATTTCCAATGGCACTGGGATTGGGTGTGAATCTGCAGAGCTTTTAGGACTTGAGGATTTTAGGATGTTATGGATAGTTTGTGCATAGTTGAACTCTCCTTCTGTGTTAGGTGCAAAAAGACTCGTGGGGGCTGGTAGTCAGGAGGTCCAGAGCACTGCAACACTTAAGCCTCTGGGAAGGTCAGAGAGGCAGACCTGTCTGGCAGCTTGGAGGAGGCTGAGAGTTGGTTTGATCTGTGAGTTAGAAGCTGCTGCTTTCGTCCAGAGCAGCAGAAGATTTGGGTGAGGTATAGGTAGTCCTCGCTTAACGACCATTTGTTCAGAGACCAAAGTTACAGTGGTGCTGCTTATCAGCTGCTTGGTGATGGCCGTAGCTATGCCTCTCAGCTGCTGAGGAGTCTTGCAAATGCAGCAGCAGCAGTAGCAGTCTGGCATGTTTCTCCCAGGCAGCAACTGCAGTGGCAATGGTAGTAAAGACTGGGCTGTGACTGCACTTCTGGGCTGCAGCAGGATTGTACAAGCAGCCAGATGAGGCTTATCTGTTTTCTGCAGGCTATTGTGATGGTATGTAGGAATGACCTTGGGAGATAGGAGGAAGACCCACAGTCTAGGCAACAGTCTGGTAAGAGGCAGCTCAGTTCACAGGTGGGAGAAAAGCATGGGAAACATTTCAGAAAGGGCCCTCCCTAATTTTCTGTAGACTAAAAAAAGAGGAGGGGAGAAACACTTTCAGTCTTGCAAGACTGATGTTAGCCCTTCGAGGTATAGGTAGTCCTCGCTTAACGACCATTTGTTCAGAGACCAAAGTTACAGTGGTGCTGAACAAAGGGACTTACGACCTTTACCCAAAGTTATGGCGATCTGTGCCCTTGGTAATTGGTTCACCCTTACGACCAGTTGCCAAGCGCCCCACTATCATGTGATCGCCATGTGCTGGCTTCCTTGCTGGCTTCACCAGAAAGTCAATGGGGAAGGTGGCGGGGAAGGCTGCAAGCTGCTGCCACGATGACTCCTTCTCATCTCTGGCAACCCTTCCATGCACCCCCCCATTCCCTCCCCCACCCATTAGTACCTGGGGCTTGCAACTTCCTGCCGGCTTCCCCACTGACTTCATTCTGGGAAGCTGGCAGGAAGTTGCCTCCCCTAACAACTGGGGCATTCACTTAACAATGGCAACTGGGACTGCCGGGATTGCAGTTGCTAAGTGATGCTGTCACAGGATGTTTCGCCTAATGATCACATCGCTTAGCAATGGAAGTTCCAATCCCAAATGTGGTAATTAGGCGAGGACTACCTGTAGTCCAGACAAAAGCACAACCAGGAGCATTAGCACTATATTTATTGTAAAGTTACATTAAACAGAATCTTGCAAGACTGAAAGTATTTCCCCCCTTCTGTCTAAAAATCTATGCTAAAATCTATAGTTGGATTGGCAGTTGACTTCCCCAGGTTTATGGTGCTAAAAGACTTCAACCTGCCATCCGTGGGCACAGATTTGGAGGTACCTTGGGAGTTCATGGCTGCCATGGCAACCATAGACCTGACCCAAATTATCTCAAATTGGAGACCACATATTAGACCTGGATTTTATTTTGGGATGGTGGCAATGTGATCTGGAACTGGAGGATGTTACTATCAGTCTCTTGCCATGGATGAATATATATATAAATAACCCTGTTGGTTCTGGAGTTCTCTGGTGTCACACCTCCCCATAGGGACTCAGGACTTATCAGTCTGCCCAAGTCACTTAATGGACCCTATTAGGTTCCAGAGGAAGCTTGTGGTTGTTCCTGGGGCTGAGGCCTTAAATGCTGCTTGGACTGAGAGTGCTACTTTGTCTTGGATCAAATCAAGCCTATATCTGTTAAATGAAGACAACTGCATGGATAGATATTACAGGTAGTCCTCAGCTTACGTCCATTCATTCAGCGACCATTCAAAGTTATGGCAGTGCTGAAAAAAATGGATATATGCTTGGTCTTCAAAGTTCCAGCCATCGCAGCACCCTTGTAGTCAGGTGATCGCGATCAGATGCTTGCGTGCCTGGATTGCGATTACAATGTTGCAGGAATCTGCAGTCACGTGTTTGCCATTTCAGACCTTCCCTGCTGGCTTCACACAAGCAAAGTCAATGGGGAAGCCAGCAGGGAAAGTCGCAAGTCACTCCGGTAAGTCACTTCCACTTTTTCTCCTGCCCGCAGCACTCCCTGCCCATGTGCAGCCTCTGCTGGCCCTCTCAGGCTCTCCTCCGGCCTCCCATGACTTGTGCATGGCCTGCACCGGCCCCTCCCCAACCTCCCAAGTGGCCTGTGCCAGCCCTTCCCTGGCCTCCCGTGACTTGGGACTGGACTGCACTGGTCCACCCCAACCTCTTGCATGGACTGCACTGGCCCTCTTCCAGCCTCCCCCACTGCACCCTTTACCTGAGACTACCACCTCTTCCTGCTTAATGACCCGCACATCTTGGGGTTATGACAGCAAGCAGGACTACCATCGCTAAGTGATGAGGTCACGTGATATCATGCTTTACAATGGCGATCCTGGTCCCAATTGCCATTGTAACCTAAGGCCTACCTGTACTGTAATTACTGTATTTCTCATGTTACAATTTATACTAAGATGATTATTGCTGCTGTTATTTAAATATTATTTGGATGTTAACAATGATCTGCTGTTTTAATAATCATATAATATATTTAGTTATTTAAAACTATTTAATGAAATACAGAAAATTTTAACCTAATTCTGGGAGGCTCATAAATCTGCTTATTCATGCTGTGTTTTATCTTTATTTTTTGACTTTTTATCTTCTTTTTTTTCTTTACTTTTCTCAAAAATGCTTAATAAAATCTTAATTTTAAAAAACTGTGATACTGATGCTGCAATTAAAGGATCATGATCTGTATGTTACATCCTGCAATAATATTTCCAGGAATTATTCTAGATGTAGTCTGGACCCAAGTTAAAAAGAGTAAAACAAATTACTGAATTCAATATATTGTAATCAGCTTCCTGGGATTCTTCTTCCATTCTCACAGAGATCACTGGGACCAAGAGATGTCTAGGAAAAGCAGCAAGGCTATTTGCTTTTTTATTGTCATCCCATGATGGTGGTGGTGATGATGACAACAACAAAAAAGAAAGACATATATTCTGGAAATGGATCTGTACATCTTTGAATAGCATATTTCCATCTTAGCTGGCCACTGTAATAATAATGAAATACAAAATCACTGGCATCTGCATTAATCTGTTTCCTTTTTTGTACCTCATAATCTTTTCTTTTGTGCCATGTCTTTTCAAATGGATGCCTCAGGGGCTTATTCTAACTACTATGGGAGCACAGATGTGATATGATTTCAAAACCAGTTTATTATGATCTAAAAAGAAGAATACTCCTATGGTTGCTAAGAAAAACACTTTAGCAAGTATACTTCTAAGGTAGATGTACAAAAAGAAAAAAAGCAACGTTTTTAAAGGTGAGCAAATTATTCTAGGTCTAATATCAGAAATGTTTAACAATCACAGATCTCATCCAGCAAAGTATATACACAACCGTTATATTCTATGCTCAAAAGAGTGTGTATGGAAGGTAAGGGGAAAGGAAATTATCTGTACTCCACACTCAGAATGAGAGGTAGCATTAGTGGTTATTAGCAAAAAGTTTCAATTCATTTTTTTTTTGCATGTTTCAGTAGTGATAGAAACCAGAAATAAAACATAGGAAAACTAATATGCAAACATAATTAGAAACAAACTCTTTGCAGTGAAGACATCCACTATCTAGCCAGACCTCAATTTTAATTCAGAATGAAACTATATTAATTGTGTGGCTAATTAATTTACTCTTCATAAAAGATTCCTGGAATAAGTAAAATCAAATTAGAGAAAATATTAAAAGGTTTGTGAATTATTCAAATTGATCAAGAAGGCTTAGTATTTAGTTTTTGTAAGAAATAAGATGTACAATAGTTCTTAAAATATTGCCTCCACGTTTGACATAGTTTAATTTCTGTTACCTGCTCTTTTACTGGAGTGTTGACATTTGACAGACACTGTTGGCAGACAGCCAGGAATGATTTGACTGTTTTCCTTAATACCAATAGATCTTCCTGGAGGAAACATACGAACAATTACCTGAATTTTAGTATTAGTCAACATTTTCAGGAAAAAAAATTCTCAGAATAGAGAGAGATCAAAGGACTGTGGAATAATAGCTGCAGATGGCGCCTCTAAATTGTCTCACAACATCATAATTTAAATAATAAAATCCAAGAATAAAATAACCTGCAGTAAGCAGGTATGGGGTATGATGGGACAGAGATACTACAGTACATAGTTTTAAAGTTGTGTACTAGTCTTAGTGCCTAACAAGGGAATAATTAAGAGATTTTTTTTCTGTTATAAAATTATAATACCAAGAAAAAAAACAACCAAGATAAAATAAATTAAAATAGACAAATAAATAAAAAACCCTAAATAATAATATGCTAATATAAATCACCTAAATATGTAATTTATTCATATAATCACTTAATAACGATGTATCAAAATACACATAAAAATGTCTATTCTTGTAAGATATTATGAAAAAGAGAGAACATGCCAAAAGGAAATATGTTGTGTCATTTTTTAATTAGTAGAAAAAATAGCCTTCTCAAAAATAGAAAAAATATGTACTTCTTGAATTAAGACTTTGATATCTGGGTTAATAGTACTTTTCCAACCTCTCAATATAATTCCCTTGGCTATTCCCCATACCCATGTAATCAACATTCCTCAAAAACAGTCAGATTTCACAATTTTGGAATATAATTTAATATATTAACATCTTTAACTTGAAAACTTCTATCCCTTTATCTACTAATAAACATTACAATATTATTCCAAAATGAAACCAAAACCAGACATGGCCAAATCATATTATTTAATTTAGCCTCAAATTTCTCACATTGCTAATGGAGAAAATTTATAATCCATCCTTTCTGATACATTCTTTGAGGGGTCTAATAAACTTGGAAAATCTTAAAAATATAATTTTAACCATGTTGTGAGAGACTTTTCATATACCAATTATGTATTCTCAAAAGATTTTATTCCAATAATACTTGAAAGATATGTGAACAGTCTTTCAGAACATGAGGTTTTTAAAAAAAACTGCAAAAGGCTTTCACTTGCAGAAGAAAACAAGAAGAGGGGCTGCTTAACATTTTCCCCTACCTAGGCTACTCTCCTGCTCTATGTGATTAAAAACAAGCAAAAACCATAAGAAATTGATACATTTTCCTCCAGATGAGAAAACTCTTGGTAAAGTGTTTCTGTACAGAAAACATCAAAAAGAAAAAAAAAGTAAACAAATATCCCTTCCTAAGTTTTCCAACAATGGCTAGGGAAGTAATAGTAACATTTGAGAAAATAAAATGGATCTTATTTGTGAGTATAAGGTAACAGGGAACACCAACATGCCTGAAAAAAAAAAGGTTCCATATTTTGGAGGTCAAGCATTCTACTGCATATTAAGTTTTATTCACATGAAGATGTAATTGAAAAATTCATGCACTGAAATTGTGATTCTGCCATGGGAATTGTTTTTCATTTCCAGAAAAGGTCATTATAGTGAGACTATGAGGAAACTATATGTCATATAAGAACTTCAGCTAATGAATCATATACATGCTATTAAGTACCAACAGAAGAGATTGCTATTAAGGTCTCACAATGAAACTTTTTTCAAATGATTATTCTTCTGTTCTAGTTATGTTAACTATGTATTTGTGTTTATAATATTTAAGAGTGTATATGTATGCTTTTACATTGCATGCACGTGTATCATGCATACAAAAGCATACATGCAGGTTGAATGCACAAAGATGAACAGCAATCTGAAAAGTTTTCCCATTTTATTTTATATCAGTGAGAACTATGATATCCGGATAAGAAGCTCAACTTGAGGGCTGTGCTCTTACAGCAGATTTAAGTGGAAATGCATTAACACTTCAGTTAAAATGCAGCAAAAATCCCAGCTCAAATTATATAGAATAGCAGTTCTCAACCAGGGGCTATACGGCTCCTGGGGGCCTTATGTTATTGCAAGGGGGCCAGGGGGCCATGACACATGCCAAGGGGGCCACAGAAAAGCAAAATGTAAGTAAGAGTTGCTTGGGTAAGATGGGCGGCTATATAAATGTGATGTATAAACAAACAAACAAACAAACATTGTCTTGTTGAAGCCAGAAACTGCATCAGTTACTGTCCCATGTCCTTATCTGGTGATGGGACCTGGACGGAGGGAGGAGGTCCCATCACCAGATGGGAGAAAAAGAAAAACAATGCTGGAAGGGGGCCACGTAATGACATAAAATAGGGTACTTATGAAAGAATGCAGGATAATCAACTCAACTTAACCAACTAGCAGTGTTAGAAATACTGTGATCCATAGTCTCTTACTTTTGAAGGAGAGCCTTCTGTAATTTTCACCAGCTGCCAGAGAATAGAATAATGGGAACATTGAAGAGCCTGAACCACTATCTGAAACAAAATGCACATCAGATAAATAAGTATAAAGTTTGTACAGTTCACAATTATGAACTGCTGCTTGTACAAAACTTATTTAAAGGATACTATTTTAAGACTTATTTAAAGGACGCTATTTTAAGACTTGTTTAAAGGATACTATTTTAAAACTATACAAAGGGTGAGTTTACTTATTCTTGAGACGGACGACAAATAAAAGCTACAACCAACTGAAATTTCAATTGCATAGTTTAACGCAAGGAAAGCTCAAATGTAAAGGCAGAGTACAGATGACCCATAATTAAGAATGGAGCTTACTGTAGCAAAATTCAAGTCAAATACAGAATGATTTGAGTTAAATACACAATGGTTTGAGTTCATTACACACTACTACTTTTACAGTAATATACTATAATACTGTTCTGGCTTACATACAAATTCGACTTAAGGACAGATCTTGGGAACAGAACTTGTTCTTAAACTGGGGACTACCTACATAAACATAGCCTGAGCATCTCAATTTAAAAGCATATGGTTCAAAGTAGCTCCTCCCAAACTTGAAACTACTTATTTTGATAATATCAACCCAGCTTGTTAGAGCACATTAAAATGAAACACATGAAACTCGTGTTTTGCTTAACAGCATGGCCATTTCTCATTATTTTTCAAAATTAAAATAATATTTAAAAATAATAAAGTGAAATGGGACAGGAAATCTGTCAGGTGCCAAGGGAGTTGTCTGCAAGCACACAGGTGCTCATCAAGATCACATTGTTTTCCATGGATTAAAGTAGTCACATTTCAATTTAGCCATAAAGCTGATTTGGAGGATTGTGGACCACTTATTAGCAGTCAGCTTAACCTACTCACTCAATTGCTGTGAAGGTAAAATTGTGGGAGAGATTGATTGATTGATTTATATTTCAAACTTAGACACTGTCCATCTCATAAGGGAGTGACTCTGGGCGGTTTACAATAAAAACAACAAATAAATATTAGTTAAAATGGAATAAAAATAGTATGAAAGTTGGCAGAGCCAGGTCTTGACTGCTTTCTGGAAGGTCAAGAGAGCAGGGGCCTGCCTTGCCTCCCTATTCCATAGGGTGGGGAGCACGGCAAAGAAGGCTCTCCTTCTGGGCCCTATGAGTTGACATTCTTTCATTGATGGGGTCCACAGCATACCCTTTGCTTGACCGGGTGGGACAGGTCGATATAATGGGGGTGAGACGGTCCCTCAGATAACCTGGTCCCATGCCATATAGGGCTTTAAAAGTGATAAACAACACCTTGAATTGGACCCAGAAGCAAACTGGGACCCAATGCAGCTTGCGCAGCAAAGGTGTGACATGTACCACCTTTGGGGCACCCAAAATTGCCCACGTGGCTGTATTTTGAACCAGCTGTAGCTTCCAGATACTTTTCAAGGGTAGCCCCATGTAGAGTGCATTGCAACAGTCTATACGGGAGATGATTAGGGCATGAGAGACTGACTGGAGGGCCTCCTGATCCAGGAAAGGGCATAACTGGCGCACAACATGTAGTTGAGCAAAGGGCCTCCTGGCCACGACTGCCACCTGCTCTTTGAGCAGTAGTCATGAGTCCAGGAGGACCCCCAGGTTACGCAACAGGTCCGTATGGGGTAGTGTCACCTCATCCAGAACCAAAGATGGTAAACTTCCGGATACAGAAGAGCCCCCAACCCAAAGCCACTCCATCTTACC